TTTAGGGGCTTTAATTTTGCCGGGTATTTTGCTTTGCTATTCTATATCTGCTTCCTTTTTCAGACTTAGATTGTATTCTGATAATGGGATCTTCTTGATTCTGTTCTATTTTGTAAAAGGATATCTGAAATACAACTGATATATCATTTTTTTTCAACATTTTAGTCAATTTTAAATACTTCATAAAATTACTTTTAAGTTTCCATAGTATTGCTCAAAACCAAGAGTGCAGAGATCAGGAATCTATAAATAGCTGTGTGTGTTTCCATGTTACAGAACAGTGCAGAAAATTTACAGGAGAAAATTCTAAGCCAAATTATGGCTGCCAAGTCACCATTCAGTCTGAACAAGAGAAGCAGCTAATGAAATTATATCGCCGTGAAGAAAAACGAAATGCCAGGCGAGAAAAACGAACTGGGGATGAAGGAGAAATTCTTGTTGATGCAGGAATCTCTTTTGATCCGAAGGAGTTACGGATACAAAGGTAAGAAGTTTCAGTGCAACGCTATCCTCGAGATTTGCCAAGCCTTTACTTTCCCTTAATTTGGTTCTATCAATGAGAAAGTTTCAAATTATAATTAAAGCGTAGGTAGTCCTCGACTTATGACCACAACTGAGCCCAAAATTTCTGTCACTAAGCGAGACATTAATGTATGCATGAACTTTGTCAATGCCAAACTGGAAAGATATTCAAACCTTAGTGCCCTTTGAAAAAGCTATATGGAAGTAGAAAAATTCTATTTCTGGCAAGGAAGGGAATATTCTGAAAGGCACGAATGGATGGTTGATTTGAATAATTGCTTGTTAACCCTTTTTTAAGTTATAAAAAATAATGTAACTTTTACTCTGCATTCTCCACTCAAGAGGATCCATCACACCAACCCACCAGTACCACCCTCCTTCCCTGGCCTCCTTCCGCTTCCATGCACACATGCAAACACAAGCATCCTCCTTTCCCAGCCTCCCTGTGCTTTTTACAAGTGTTCGTCCATTTTAACCCTAACCTTTCTTTCCCAGCCTTCCTGTGTTCACACTTAGGCATGCACTCACCCATGCCCTCCTTCTCTGGGCCTTTCCGCACTCACATACACAGCCACTAGCACTCTCTTTCCATGGCCTCCCTATGATCGCACTTACTTGATGCCCTCTTTCCTTGGCCTGCTTGCATATTCATGCACCTCTGCCCCCTCTTTTCGCAGGCCACCCTGTACTTGCAAACAGACGCACCCTGCACCCTCCTTTTATGGCCTCCCTGGGATCACATGTACCACATCTGCTCCTTCCTTAGCTTCCCTGCACTCAGGTACACACATGCCCTGCACTCTCTTTCTTTGGTCTCCTTGCGCTTGCACACAGGCACCCCACACTCTCATTCCTTGACTTTTCTGAATTCGCATTGCACCAAGTTCCCCTTTCCCAACTAGTGCCTGATCTACACCTGGCCTTTCAGGGACTCCTCCACCCTGTGGCACCTGGGCACTTCCTACCTGATACCTTTTTCACTTTCCACCTAATGGCTTGCATATCTTGGGATTGCTTGGATTGCAATCGCTAAGCAATGTGATTACATAACATCATGCTTTACAAGCACATCACTTAGCGACCACAGTCCCAGTCCTATTTGCAATCACAACTTGAGTAGTACCTGTATATCTATGCAGAATTCTATAGCAGATATAGGTGAGAATTGTTTCCCGTTTCTACTTCCCAAAAAGAGGCCATCGTGAATGATGTTAACGTGTGCAGACGTCTTTGCTCAAAGAACATTTGAAATGCAACACCACTCTGATGTCCAATATGAAGCTCTCTAACCCTCTAATGTTGAATTTGCTTAGTATTTGTAATCATTTCCACGGCATCACTGCATTCTGCATTGAGTTCCTATCAGTTTTGATTGCCACTGGTTTTCCTTTTGTGGTTACAGAGAACAAGCACTTTTGAACGCTCGCACAATGCCAGTTTTATGCAGACAACGAGACATGGAATTTGACAAAATTCATTACCCCCATGTTTATGACTCACAAGCTGAAGCTAGGACAACATCAGCTTTTATTGGGGGATCAAAGGTATGCTTTTAAAGATTCCTTCTGAGTAATGAATTTAAGCGAGCTTCCTTAAAATAGTTTAGAATGGTATTTTCTTATTTGGAAGAGGTAATTTTTGTTCCCACTGTTTACCCCCACCCCTTGATAGAAATCTGCATATTTTCGTACGGTGACAAATGTCAATCACTTGGTCCTAAAGTTATCTATAAGAATTCATTCCCATTAATTCCATGAAATGGTTTGGGGGCTTGGAAGACTTTTGCTATATTCAGCTGTTTTTTCCTTGAAATATTGAAATCCTTTTATTGGCAAGAACATATATTAGTGGACCACCCAAGGGGTGAAAGATGTTACTTGAAGTTATAAATTAGATCTGCTCTTGAATAGAACCGTATTGTTCCTAATGGCTCTCAAGTTACAGAAGGTTAGTTATTCTCATCTGAAACAATGGAAAAATGAATTTATTCATTTGTTACAAATCTCTGGGCTATAGATTCAGAATTTTCTATTGTGTTGTATATTAATTAGGAATCTAAAGAAGTCATAACCAGATGGTAAAGCAAACCAGAATACCTGATTGTTTCATCGTAATTAGAACATCGGGAACATATTGAAACTGTCCTATATTTACCACATTTTTCCTTTCTTCTGCGTGATGTTTATCTAACCCTTCACATTTGCTTTAATCATGGTGTAATATCTACCTGTGTTATAATGCTGATTATAATTAATTGAATTAAGTTTGGAAGCTGGTTTGTACACTTCATTTTACTCTTTGGGGCAGATGTTTCTTTATTATGAAGCAGTATGAACGACAAGAAAAAATATATTCAATAAAAGAAGGAGAAGGACAAGAAAGTAGACTCATTTTATCCAAAAGCTTTGTAGAAGTATTCTTACACTTTGCCAGTCCTTCTGATCCTTTGTACTTAAATAATCTTGCAGCTGTATAGTTGAAATTATTGATTGACCATATGCCCTCTCTGAGCATATGGTCAAGTAATTTTGCTGTTGAAGTAAACAGCAAAAAGCATGCAGCCTTATTGTTACCAAAATGTATTTCATTGGATAACATAATGGTACAGATTTCTGCCGCTAGTGTTCCTCCAGATGTGTTAGAACTTTTAAGACTTGAAATTCCCTGCTGTCATGCCCTTTCTGGGAGTTACAGACTCTGGCTTACATAGAGGAAGGCTAGTCTTAAAAGGGATCTATAATCTACAATAGTATGTTAAACTTGTATGCCATAGAAAGGGAACCATATGGGTTTTTTTTTAATCCCCCTGCAAACAAGCTCATTATTTTCTTGGCTGCTTGCCATGAATTTTCCCACTCCTGAGCAGATAGTGGAAAGACCATCTTAAATAGTCAAATTTACAAGCAGGAACTCAGCTCTAGTTTCAATAAATGGAAGATATAATGACATGCATTCAGATTACTGTATTCCGAAACCATTTTCTGATTTCTCTCTTTTTTTAAGAAGCAACATTTTTTTTTACAGTCACTGTAGAATTGGGAAACATCTAGCACACCAGAATTATTAAATGGAGTGAATTAATTTTAATAGACTTCCAAAGATTTGCTTTTCCATTTTTGGAAACTTTTGCTTGTTTTAGAGAATATTTTAATTGAT